CTGGCTGCTGCACAGGCCCGCGTGCCCGAGGACCAGCGTTACCGCCTGATGCTGCACGAGCGGCGCGCACGTTTGGTGCGCCTCCGCCTCCTTCGTGCGACTGTGGATGCACTGGCTAAGGAAAAACAGCTGGAGCGGAGTGGTGAAAGAAAAAGGCGTGGAGGCCCTCCGCCTCCCCCCCCCCCGCCGCCCCCCTCTGCTGCTGCTGTTGCTGCTCTCTTGTCTCGACATCGGCTGTCCGACTGCCGAAAGAGATGCTTGAGGTGCCACGGCTCTGCGTCCTTGGACACTTTAAAGGAATGGCACGCCTCGGAGTGCCACAGCTTAGTGAATGCGAATGGTCTGATTTACTCTCCTCCAGTCGGAGGACGGATCCACGTCGGGGGGGGCTGGCTGCATCCTTCTCACCACCTCAATGTGCACGCCTCTCTGAATTGTTGGTTCTGTGGGAAGTGTGGGGCCATTGCTGACAAGCAAGTCCGTTCGCTTGCTAAGCCTTGTACGAACAAGTTGTCAGCAACGGGCCGTGAGCACCTCAGAAGAATTCGTGAAGGGCTCCCCCCCAAGGTCCTCAGCAAGGCCGAATTGGCCCAGCGAGGCCGAGGGTAGCATTGTATGGATTGGCTTCGCCAGTGGTTCCTATTCCTATTCCTATACTCCTCCTCCTCCTCCTCCTCCTCCTCCTCCTCCTCCTCTGCCTGCCGCCCTCCTTCCCATGCGAGGCCCCCTCGCCTTCCCCCCCGCCCCCCTCCGCCGCGCCGTGCCTCCAAGGGGGGCATGGGGGGGCACGGTGCGTGGGTGGGTGGTGCGGGCAGGGCCCCGGGCGAGTAATGGCCGGGTGGCCGGAGCCATAGACTGGGCTGGACTGGACCAGTCGCCACACTGGGGCTTGTCTCGCTGGCAAAGCTCGCTGGGCCTTGACCGGACTGGAGCTGTCGCGAGGCGATGAGAACGCCACCCTGCAGACACAACGAGATGACCACGGCGTGGGCGGGGCTAACTCTTGGGCCACTCGCCCTCGATAAAACGCTTGATATGCTCGGCTCTGGTGGGTGTGGGGTGTGGGGGAGGCCCGGCATTCCATGGCTGGGTGGTCAGAAGAGGGGGGGGACGAGGAAGAGATCATCAAGAACAAAAGAGCCCCGCAACCCTAAGAGCACGACGAAGGCGTGGCGTCTCACTGAGGTCCCCGTCCTTGCGTTAGGGCTAAATTGAAACTGGGCAGTTTGGCCACATCCATCCGCATGAAAAGACCCCTATCCATAAGAGTTATGGCCTTCCTGAGTTTGGTCTTCTCCCACAGGGTTAGTAGGGGTCCTTGCATGCTTATCATAAGAGGGAACAGGAACAGGAAGAGGGATGAGGAGAGGGCGGGCGATGAAAAGAGGGAGAGGGGCAGACGGCAAGACGGGAGAGGAGTTTTGAGGGGGTGGCGGGGCGGGGACAGGACGGAGGAGCGGAGATTCGAGGAGACATGGAGTGGGGAGGAGGACATGGAAGATGGCACGGCATGCTTGTAGGCAAGCGCGGCGGAACATGGAGCACGACGAGGTTGACAAAGCTAGCATCGGCATACACCTGCAAGCATATCTTTATATATATATATGCACCTATGTAGATGGACTGGGGGAGACTACGGATGAGCAGTTGACTCAAGTACGTTCGATCAACCATACACGAATATATACTGTCATGCACCTCACGCGCATGTATGCATGCACCTACGTGTGCGAAAAGACACGATTATATACATGTACGCTAATAAGAGCAACCATGCACAGCGTAAACAACACAAATATGCAACACAGGGAAGGGCCTGATCATATGCGCGTAGAAATCTACGAATGAAGAATAACAGTCGAGCGCGCTTCGCGCACTGTCAAGCAGCAGTTTGCCACAGAACGCTAAATCTAGGCCCAGTGTTTCGCATGCCCAATCGACTCATCATCATCATCATCATCGTCATCATCATCATCATCATCATCATCATCATCATCATCATCATCAACCTCATCATCATCATCATCATCATCATCATCATCATCATCATCATCATCGTCATCGTCATCGTCATCGTCATCATCATCATCATCATCATCAGCAGCATCATCATCATCATCACCAACATCAGCAACCGCTTTCTCGACCTCATATTCCTTGCCTTCCTCTCAATACGCATGCCACCTCTCCTCTTCCTCCTCCTCCTCCCCCTTCCCTCCTGCTTCCCTTCGTCATCAAGGGACGAAAAAGTCAGGAACGAAACTTTCTGCCTGTTGTCGTGCTTTCCAGCAGCCCCACGGGACCTGGGAAAACTTTGACGAATTCCAGCTCACTCGGCGGAACTCCCCCAGTCATGCCGAGTTCTCACCCTCCCTCCCCCTTCCACGCAGGCTCCATCTTGTGGTCCTGTTGGCCGTCTTGGAGCCCTCTTGGCTTGTTGCGCTCTGGAAACGTTTGGGGGACATCTTGGGCTCTCGTGGGCCCGCCTGAGGCTATCTTGAGACTGTCTTGGGCGGTACAAGGGGCACCTTCCCAAGGCCTGTGGCATTCCTTAAGGCGCCCTCTGGGGCTCCCAGGGGTCGCTTGGGGCCTCTTGGGCGCTTCTGGGAGGCTCTTGGGCATCTTGGGGACATGATGGGGGACTCGGGGGAAAGATTTTAGAGAAAGGGCTTCTGCAGTCCCTTCGCTTTCCCCCTCTTGAACCCTCTCTTGGGGATCTTATGGAGCCCTCGTGGGCTATCGTGGGTCCCTTTTTGAAGCGTCTTCGGCCCATCCTGCAGCCCTCCTGGTCGCCTTGCCTGTTTGAATTGCCTTGATGCGATGTTCGATGCCTCTTGGGTGGCCTCGAAGCTCAGGAGACCGAAGAACCGCGCACCCCAAGCTTCATGCAAACACTACCCAAAAACATGGTTGTTGCTTTTGGACGGCCTCTTGGGCATCTTCTTTGGGTCGTCCTCAGGCGTCTTGGTGGTGTACGGGACCGCTTTTGAATCTCGCGAGACCGTCTGGCCGCCCTCTGGACTGCATTTAATGTGGACCCGTCGCCGGGGCCCGGTAGGGATGGCCAGGAGGCCCGAAGGCCGAGCAGAGGTCCTGCAGGAGTCCGGAAGGCCCGGAGAGGCCGACATTAGGTGTGGGTGGGGGGGCACCCTCTCAAAATATATAACTAAATCGGAATGCGTGTGTGCGTGTGTGTGTGTGTGTGTGTGCCTGTGTGTCAGCATTGCTCCCCCGAGGTGCCACATTCCCGGTACAATCTACGTCTGGCGCAAGCCACGCGGTGTAATCGGTCTATGCTGCGCGCTACGCGGTGTCATGCACGCGGCCCAGCTTGTGGGTTACCATCTGCGTGGTGCAACCTGAGTTACGAGGCCGATGTGGCATCACAGCAGCAATTCGGCCCCTGACTTTCGTCCTGGGTTCGGTTTAGTGAAATGATGAATTTCGGGGTCCTTACGTGGGAAAAAGCATCACTTCACTAATCTGGGGCCCCTGGGGCCTCAGTGGGCCCTGGGGCCAAAATTAGTGATGGTTTTCGGGCCTCGGATGAGTGGAGCAATGCGCACGGCGAAACATGTGAGCGGCGAGAAAAGAGGGGTCTTAAGCACGTCGTCGAAGCGACCTCACGCCGCGGCTTGCGCGGGCCGCCAGCGCGCCACGCCACGGCGGAAGCGAGGGCGCCTACGCGCGACCTTTGAAGCGGGGCGCTCACGCGGCAATGTCGTTGAAAACGACTCCGTTTTCCTTAGTCGCTCATGTGTGGCGCAAGGCTTGGGCATTGCTTCCTGGGCGGGAGCGATACATGGGAGGGGAAGGAAGGTGCACTTCTCGGGCCCCCAAAGGCCCACGGCATTCTCAGAGCGTTCCGAAACGCTCTGAGAGCGTTCTGGAACGCTCAGGGGGGAGAAGGAGGACGACGAAGCCGATGACGCTCAACGAGGAGGATTAGGAGGAGCAGGAGGACGACGACGCCAAAGAGGAGGAGGACGAGGAGGAGGACGGCAAGGAGAAAAGGAACGAGGAGGACGAGGAGAACGAGGAGGATGGGGGGGGGGGAAGGAGAAACATAAGAAGAATCCTAAGAAGGATAAACATAATGATATAAGAGAAAAGGAGTGAAGCGAAGAGAATACCATGCAAGAAAAGAGAAGAGGAAGAGAAGAAGAAGAGAGGAGAAGAGAAGAGAAGATAAGAGAATATATGACAAGATGAGGGGGATGACGACGACGGCGAGCTCTGGATTCATCCTCGTCATCGTCCCAGCCCCGTCCGGGCGGTGCCATCGAGACGCCAGCCAGCGCACTTAAGGCGACCCACGAGAGGTGGCGGCCCGGAGGTGCCGGCCAGCGCACGGGGTGGCAACGGGACGCCCACCGCGCGAAGGCTGCAAGAAGCCCCGCAGAGCGCTCGGCAGCGAAGCAGTCATGGCTGCAAGGGCATGGGCTCCAGTCATGGAAAGGTTCTCTCGATCTCTGACTCTCCCTCTCCCTCGCTCCCTCTCTCTCTCTCTATCTCTCTCGCTCCCTCTCCCTCTCCCTCTCCCTCTCCCTCTTTCTCTCTCCCTCTGTATCGCTTAATTTCCCTCTCTCTCTCTCCCTCTCTCTCTCTCTCCCTTTCTCACCTCTTCCTCTTCCTCTCTCTCTCTCTCTCTTCCTCTCCCCCCTGCTCTAAACGTGAAGATCCATATGCGTCGTGGGTACGTTCGCACGACAGGACGCTTGCGCATCTATCCATGCGCACATGCGCATACATCTGCTCTCGGCTGCGACTGCAGAAGCCCTGAGCCCAAACACGCTGGCCTCTCGCTTGCGCTTCCGCCGGCTCACGGCGGCCTTCCGACGGCCTCCGCGGGCGAACCCCCCGCCGCTCAGCACCTCCGCCAGCCTGCGGCCGAAGGCGACACGGGGGCCCAAGGCGAGGACCTCTCTCTGGAGGGCCCTGCTGTGTGCACCCGAACGGGCACACGCTGCGCTTCGGCGCGCCGGGGTGCGGCCGACGACGCAGCTCGGGGGCGCAGTGCTCGGGCTCGCAACTGCGGCTCGTGTACATCGGGGCCCAGGAGTCGTTGTCGAAGCTGGTGTCCTCGAACGTCGCCTGAGCTGCAGTGGGCGGTCGAGCACAGAGGATATGTTTTTCTGCGTTTTCACAGGTTGTACCGTTCTGTGGCGTCCCGTGGGGCTCTGGGGGGCTCTTGGGGGCCAGGAGGAGCGGGGGGGGCCGTAACGCATCGCCCCCGCCCCCCCCCGCCCCCCAGAATGACAGCCTGTGTGCCGGAAAAGCACTGCGTGCTGGGCGCCTCGTGTGCCAGACGCACTGCGTGACCAGGACGCACGGGCGGGAGGGGGCAGCGCTGCGTCCTGCGTTGAACTCTGGGGGGGGGAGCGAGGGGAGAGAGGGGGGAGGGGGGCACCACGCGCGTTCTGTGGCCCAGAGGGGGAAGCAACAAAAAAACACACTCTCCTCGTCCTTGGTGCTCCACAGCTCCTGGGGAGACGAAACGGTGAAGATACCGCTGCCCCCCGGACCTCTCCCGGGGTGCGTGTTCTGACCAGAATCTCGAGGCGAATCCAGCGGTGGCGACGAGGGCCTCCCAGGAGGCCCGAGAAGGGGAAAACCGGGCGAAGGGTAGCGGTATGGGTACGTTTTCCTCCTCTGAGCTCCATGCCCGAGAACATCATCGGCAGCTGCGGCCCGTCGCGCGGGTCGTGCAGGATGAGCTTGGCGTCCGTCCGGGGCGGCCCCGACGCGCCCTCGGACCACTGCGGCCCCCGGAGCCCCGGGCAGGTGTCGACCAAGGGCAGCCGGCCGTCCGCGGTCTTCCTGGGGTCGCTCTCGTTGACGCCGCCCGAGCTCGTGTTGTGCCACCGCACCGTGGGGTCGTCGGCGCACCTCGGCAGGCTGTAATTAAACATGCTGAGGATCGGCGTCAGCGTGTGGTCGCCCAGGGCCTCGCAGCCCGGGCACCGCCTGCTGGCGTCGCGGAGGTCGCCCATGGCGATGAGCTGGCGCCGCACCGCGGCGCCCAGGATGCCGTCGCGCCGGGACATCATGAGGAAGGGTGCGGTGGACTCTGGCCGGCTCCAGTGCTCCCCGTTGAGGCGGTACATGTAGCCCTGGAACGTGGCCTCCGAGGCCAGCATGAAGTCCCAGGCCGCGTCCAGGGGCCGCAGCAGCACCACGGACAGGTCCAGCGCCACACCTCCGTAGCGGGCCAGCAGCGCCACCATCAGCGCGTCCCGCTGCTGCGCGGCGGGCATCGACTCCCAGTGCACCGGGAGCTCGTACTTGCTGACGTACAGGTCCACCTCGTCCTTGCGCAGGAGGCGGTGGTAGAAGGTGCCCCGGTTCACCTCGATGCTGATCCGGCTCAGCTCCTCCCGCCCAGGCAGCTTGCAGTGCAGCGAGTCGGGGCAGTCCTAGAAGAAGGAGCAATGGCAGAAAACAGAAGCTTTCGGAGGTCCGCGCGGACTTGCTGGATCGGCGCTGGATACCCTGCCTGGCGCGCGGAGCGCACCAAGGGGCTGCGCCGGAGGCACCGACATGGGGGGCCAACGCAGATCCAACAGATCCGCACGGACCTCCGAACAATTCTGCTGGTGCCGCTTTTTCTCCTCCGACTTCCTCCGGGTCGTACCAGTAGGACCAGATGGTCTTCTCCTTTGGGAATGATTTTCTGGAAGATTTCCGTAAGAACGAATCGTGGCGATTAATCCCTAAAAACAAACCACAACGCTGGGTTAGGCCAAATGAGGCCCAATAGTAAGCCAGATGATGCGGAATTGATCAGGCTTATGCCAGCTTGGGAGACGTGCTTTGTTTTTCGACCAAAAATATATCGGCGCCGGTTCTGAACTTACGGTGGGGCACTTTTGCTTACCGTGTCGCCGCGGCCGCCACGGCAACACGCTATGTCCTGCAATCGGATAGCGTGTCGCTCCGCTCCGCGGGGAGGAGGCTGGGACAAGCTCGGGACGTTGACGCCTGGGGACCAGGCCGTGGATAGCGCGTCGCGTCGCAGCGTGGCGGGCCAGAACTGGCAGAGCGACAGACTGAGCCAACATTCCTGGCTGCAACCTCCCAGGAACCGCAGGCAAGTCCCAGAAATGCGATGCCTTGACTCTTGCAGGAAAGGGTCCCTGGAAAACCCGACGCTCTACCGGCTGCTCCTCTTGAGTAATTTCTTGACAACCTCGGAGCCCAGCGAGGGCCCCCGGAGGCCGACCACGGCCCAAAAAACCTTCCGTCCTGACTCTTTCGCCGCGAGCATGCCTGGGGTCTCCTTGACCTTGCCGTACATCCACGGCAGCTGGTGCCCGCCCACGCCGGCGACGGCCTGGAAGGGGCCGGTGCCGTTCAGCCTGCCCAGCAGGTGCCCGCGGAGGTCGGAGCTCAGCCTTCGGGGCAGAGGGGGGAGGGCAGGAGGAGGAGGGGGAGGAGGAGGAGGAGGAGGAGGAGGAGGAGGAGGAGGAGGAGGAGAGAGGGAGGAGAAGCAGGAGGAGG